TATAGACATAGCCTGTTTCTCATCTCTGCAGCTGATCCAGAGAGAGAGGGAACTAGGAAGTGAAAGTAAAATTTTAATAGTGATCCTGAACCCTTCCCCATTCCCCCTTCATTACACTAGCTCCTACAGATGAGTACAACCCCACTGGAATGCATGAAGCATGCTCATCCTTGTCACCATCAGCACTGAGATCCTGCATTGTTGTCAGTTTCTTATATGGCATAGTTACAATGTTTTGCTCACATTCCTGTGATTGCTGCTTTGCACTCACTATTTATAGTTCACTACAGGCCTTTTAGCCATGTGCATGTGGGCAAAAGAAAAGTGATACAAGGGTCTAAAGCAGCCAAATGCCTGGAAAATGGGTTTTGCTTCTGCTGGGGGTCATACATACCAGCAGAAAGCAATGGTCTGGTTTCCATGAAATTTGTGTTCCAGAGAAATACATTACGATTTCAGATTCCCCTATTTGAGGGAAGCCTTCTGAGAATATTTTTGAACCAAGAACAACAACAATATACCGGTGTTGCGGGAGGGTAGGAAGGGGAGCAGTGCTGTGGCTCTCGCTCTATAGCACGTGTCCCATTGGGGTTCTGTGTATGACCTATGAGACATTTTGCCCATGCGCAGGGTTGCCAGATTGCTCTGGTTTCCATCTGCGTAGCTTTTTTCCCAGCAGTATTACCAAAGTGACACGTGTGTAAAGCAAGGACACATGAAGTGGGGCTTGTGCTGATTGCACACAACATTGACTGTGAGAGCCGTGCGCTCCCTCTGCATCCAATCAAAGTGCTGCTGCGGTTCAGTCAGCACACCCCGCAAATTGTAGGTATGCAAGCACAGTGAGCAAAACTACCTTATCCTGGGAGGCTGTCTTGATTACGAGACACTGAGGTGAAGGAGGGCCATTCATGTGGCCCACTCACTAGCCTAGATTGCCCATTGCTGATCTATAGCACATTTTGGCAATCCCTGCTAATATACAGACTAAGCAGCATGGCTTTTTAGCCACCTGTAGTTTCTTTTTACCTGGCAGGAGCACAATTTGGGCCATGTTGAAATTTAGTATTAATTATTTAGAAACAGCTGTGTGGTGCTGTGCAGAAGCTGATCTGCATTTGAAAACAATGCCAGTGCCAACAACAATGTCAGTGTTGGTTCTGTTTGCACAAAAAGCAAGTTATGAAGGTGAGCTGCGGAGTATGGAGTTCATGGAAAAGTTGATCATGTCCTCCAATGGGATGCTTTTTTGCTTTCCATACTGGTGGATTAACCCCCTCCCCTGAACTTTGCAGTTTTCTGGCTTTTGAAAGAGCCAGAACTACCAGCTCTAGTTAACAGTGCCTAGCTACTCAGCCCTGAATTATTAACATCTGACTTGGTAAGCTGTTTTTCCTTGACTGCAGAAATGTAACAGGATTTTAAGGACACAGGTCTGCAATGGGTTTGCACGGGGTATAAAATGGCAGGATTTAGGCTCATTAAGAACAGTGGGACTGCAGCATGGGTGTAACTAGGGAGATTTTGGACCGCCAGCCCCACCCCTTCTTCTGAGGCCCTGCCCCCCCCACCACAGGGAGACAGGCGCACCCCACCACCACCACAGGGAGGGAAAGGGAAAGGAGGAGGGCGTGCGCGCTCGCCCCAGCTTCTCCAGCCCAGAGTATAGGGAGGGCGGAGGGTGTGCAGCCCGAGTCTCCCCGGCCCTGAAGCACGGGGAGAGCGAGCGCTTGGGGGCAGAAACACTCCACCCCCAAGACGCCTATAGTAGGCGTTCTGTGGGCGGAGTGTGGGCGGGGCCAGGCTGGTGGTTTGGCCCCCACCTAGCATACTGAACGCCCATGACCATATGCAGAAAGCTAACCTAAATTACTTCATACTCATTAGTGCCAGTCTTTATCACAAGCAAGATAAATGATTGGGTGGAACCCTGCACAGACATGCAGCTCAGAGATTGCTTGATCCTAGCAGCAGCACTGGAGGAGGTCATAGTACCTCGCCACCACCCCCACAGCAAGGAGAGGTCAACTGGGCCTTAGGGCCAGAGGAAGAATAACTCATAGCTGGATCTGCTTCTCTGGTAACTTGGGGTTGATACCTCTTAGGAGGTGTTTACAATCTGAATGATGCACCCTAAGCACCCCATCCATATGCACACACTCCTTTTAGTTCCTGGGGGAACTGTGATAACAGTCCCCTCCAGAGCAGCCTACTGTCTTTGGCTCACAATGATACCTCAAACCGTTCATAAACTTGATACAGTATGATCCCCACAGATATCGCATGCAGTTGCAACATCAATCCCATCTACCTTGGCTGTAAGCTGCACTGAAATGTGTTGTGTTGTAGCTTCTTGCTCACGTCTGCATCAGCCTGGATGAAAGTGATCATTGAAAAATGAGACTACAGAGGTCCTCAATCTTGCCATGGAGGCAAAAGGAGAGTTCATTTTCCATGGTCCGTTCAGTTCCTGGCCTCTTGGCTGACACTATCAGCATGGGGTCCAACTGGTTTCAGTAGTGTTTTAGCGTGATGGATAGAGCCCTGCACAGGTACAGAATGTGTATCTATATTCGTATTCACAAAAATGAGCCGCAGTTCTGGGTATCCGTGGATATAAAGTGTATAGGTGTACATTTGCAGTGTTCTACATTCAAAATTTGTGTCCACATCCACATCTATATCTGCAAAAATGAGCTGTGGACATCCTTTTCCACATCCACAGGTGTGGTTACCCGTGGATATTCACGGATTTGCAGGGCTATGGCTATGAATACCTTTCCACTGGGAAGAGAATTGAGACCCACCAAACTCTTTTTACTGGTCTGTTGTGCAGTGTCTTTGGGTCACTAACAACTTTGAGCTGGATTCGGATCAGTGACCTAGAGGTGAAAGTCACTGTAATGTAGTACCAATCCCTGGAACTTCAGGGTAACGCCGTATTTAATAAATGCTGATTTCTGTGCCCCTCTCTCACATTGCTTGCAGTTGGCCCATGACTGCTCATACATCAGCAGTAGAACTGCTCAAGCAGTTTGGAATGATTTCAGTCGTATGAATTACTGCTAGCACTACATCCCCTGAGCTCTGGGCCATGCTCCAAAAGAAATGCCTGCAAGCACACCTCCCAATTGACACTTCTGCCAAGCTGTCTATAAGTCCCCATCTCCCTCAATGTCCCCTGCCCCAGGATGGCTTATCAGACTAGCTGGCAGGAATTATTTGTTAGAAATTCTAAACTTAAAGCATGAGAGTAAAGAGAAAATGAAATGCTATTGGTCCATTATTTTACTTTTTGTTGCATGCCAATTGGTTGTTTAGGGACTAATACGCCTCTATCTGCCCTGTCCTATTACTCATTTTTGCACAACAATCAACCTCTCCTACTAATGAAGGACCATAACTGAATCCTGTTAAGGTTTTGGCTTTTCCAGTCCTTTTGTCCATGAATCAATCCCATGTTATCTCAGCTAGTCCATCGTAACAAGATCTCATCTGCATTAGCAAATTTTGAAGGCAAGAATTTATTCGGCAATGCAGAAAGAGGCCACGGGAAATGAATTCATTAGGCTTGCTTAACATAGGGATCTCCCAATGTCTCACTGAACCTGTCAGAAAATTAAACGTCCCTTGGTTCTTCTGCTGTCCCTGGGTTGCCTGCCAGCGTGCGATGATAACAGTTAATAGAGTGTGCTCATTGCTCCAGGCTGTCACGGAACTGGCCGCCTGCGTGAGCAGGATTCATGTGCTGCTTTTCATTCTAAGCAGCTGGGCTCTTGCAACTGATGGACAATAACCCAGTTTCCATGAGCCAAAGGGGAAGTGTTTGGATTTGAAACACGCATAGAACAACTTGGAATAACTGACACACAAATGCCTTTGAAAGCTTGATTTGCTGGGGCAGGGCAGAGTGGAGACTGGCACCTTTGTATTTGGATGACCTGTATTGATACATCACACTGCCCCCAAATTGCACACAAAACTGAAAGGGCTTTGCACTCAGCTGGGGATAATGGAATTACATGCAATTGCTGGTTTCAGTTTTGTCATTTTGGTGGGAAAGGTGCCACTCGGGGGCTTTTCAGGGGTGGAAGGGAGGAGGTTGGATGGCTCAAGAGACTGGCGATACGACGTGGAGCTTTATATTGCTGTGTCTCTGGCCTAGGTCCAGCTTAGGGGAGGTAAGTGATGGAACAGCGTTGCCACTGGCAGACGGGTGGCTTATGTGAAAAGTATTGGTGGGGGGGAGGTGTCTCAATCTGGCTCTTAGGACCGGTGACTCTGCCAGCACGATTGGCCTTGTTAGCACCCTCCCAGAGAGGTGAAGAACAGCCCAAGGTGTCCTGTGGCTCTCCTCCCTGCTAGAAGCAGTCCCTCTAAGACAAGTGTGACGGTAGATGGCATTGCATGGAGCATAGCCTTACAAAGAGAAGTGCAGCCCCTAGGTCTGTGAACCTGGCTTCTTTCGCGAATGCCCAACTCACTTATGGCATGTTTAAAAATGTAGGCTGTCATGAGATGGAAAGCTTCCTTCTGTGTGTGCCCAAGCGCGCGGATACTGGGGGGTGGGCGTGCGGATACCGCGAGAATGGGGAGATGCATGTTTGGGCATCCACGTTGTCCACACACATTTAATCGCATGAAATGAAAAACCGCCTTGCTCGAGAGCTGCTCAGCAAAGCAGTGGCTACGTGCTGCCTGTCAGATGCATTTTATTAACACCTCCGTTGCCTGGAATACCAGGGCCTGCAAAGCAAGAGCATTAAAAATCCATGGGAGGATGGATGGGAGGCAGGGCTCCCTGTGTAGCAGAGATTAGCCGGGCTAAACTGCCTCTCAAGCAAGCAAATGGCAGGGACCTATTTTAAGAACTCTGCTGGAGGCAGGTAAAGAACAGTATTTCTTTTGCAAAAAAGGGCAGCTACTAGATGAATTCCCTGCTTGGTTTGAGATTTGCAGAAAAAACGGATTTTCTTTCCCTTTCTGTTTCCTCTCAGGGAAAGCCGTGAGAATTCCCCGGAAAGATGCCACTGGTGAAGAGGAACATTGAACCTCGTCACCTGTGCCGTGGTGCTCTTCCTGATGGGGTGACTAGCGAGCTGGAATGTGTAACCAACAGCACCTTGGCTGCCATCATCAAGCAGCTGGGTAGCCTCAGTAAGTTGAAAACAGGAAGACACGTGTGGATCCTCTGTGGGGCTCTTCGGTTTTGTTCATCCTCTGCAAAATGCCCATTTCTGGGCTTATTAGGTCAAAACTTCAGTTGGTGTGAATTGGCTCCAGGACTGGGAGTGTGAAATGCTCAAGGAGTTTAGAGAGGCTGCAGACACAGAAAACCCAATAATGGGAGATTTCAGCTCTCTCATCTTGACTGGGAACATGTCACCTTGGGAGGGGAGGCAGAGATACCATTTCTAGACATAATGAATGATTGCTGCTTGGAGAAGCTGGTTCTGAAACCAGCAAGGGGACAGGCAATTCTTGATTTAGTTCTAAGTGGTGCACAGGATCTGGTTCAAGAGGTGAATATTGCTGAACTGCTCAATAATAGGGTCCATAATGTGATTAAATATAATATCCTGATGGGGGGAAAATATCACAGAAACATAACACAGTGGCATTTAATTAAAAAAAACACACACCTGTTTTTTGGCATTTAAAAAGCTCTAGAGGGGATCTGTCAGGCCAGTAGCCTAACTTCAGTACCAGGCAAATGAATTGAGACTACAGGCAGTCCCTGGGTTACATGGATCCGACTTACATCGGATCCCTACTTACAAACGGGGTGAGGCAACCCCGCACTAGCTGCTTCCCCCCAGCAGACCAGGGAAACGTGAAGCTAGCGCCCCCCCCCCCCAGCAGACCAGGGAGACACGGAGCGGCTTTTCTCAGCAGACACCTCAGCTTGAGAATAAAGGACTGAGGGAAGTGAGGCGTGGGAGAATAAAACTGAGCTCTGGAGAAATGTTTGGCTAGAGTTTCCCCTACAATATGTACCAGTTCCGACTTACATACAAATTCAACTTAAGAACAAACCTACAGTCCCTATCTTGTACGTAACCCGGGGACTGCCTGTACAATAAAGAACAGAATTGTCAAACACATACATGAACACAATATATTCTGGAGGAGTCAGCACAGCTGTCACCAAGGGAAATCATATCTCACCAATCTATTAGAATTCTTTGAGGGGGACAACAAACTTGTGGATAATGGTGATCCAGTGGGATATACTGTACTTGGACTGTCAGAGAGTCTGACATGATACTACACCAAAAGCTCTTAAGCAAACTAAGCAGTCATGGGATAAATGAGACGGTCCTCTCATAGAACAGTAACTGGTTAAAAGAGAGGATATGAAGGATAGGAATAAATGGTCAGTTTTCACAGTGGAATGAGATGAATAGTGGAGTCTACCAAGGATCTGTACTAGGACTTAGGCATTTAACATACTGCTAATTTATCGGGAAAAAAGTATATACAGTAAGGTGGCAAAGTTTGCAAATGATACAACATTACTCAGAATAATTAAGTTCAAAGTTGACCACAAAGAGATCACATAAAACTAAGTGAATAGGCAAGAAAATGGCAGATGAAATTGAGTGTTGATACACCAAGTAATGCACATTGTATGTATAATTGTAATTATGTTTTCCAAAATGATAGGTTCTAAATTAGCTGTTACTTCTGTGAAAACATCTGCTAGGTTTGTAGCAGCTGTCAAAAAAGCTAACAATGTTAGAAGCCATTAGGAAAGGGATAGATAATATAACAATAAATATCAAAATACTGCTATCTAAATGCATGGTACACCCATACTTTGAATACTGAATTCAGTTCTGGAATCCCCATCTCAAAAATGATATAGAATTGTTTTTTTTATTCAAAGAAGGTTTTGCAAACCCCAATTCTCCCCGCCCTGCACCTTCAATATTATTAAAACTTAAACTGGGAAGTCTAAACAAAGTTAGAAGTGATTTTTATGTACAATACTTGAAACATAGACTGAAGCATTAAATATACCTCTTGCTACAGGAATAAATGTAAGTGAATAGTCTGCACTGTCACTTATGAAAAGCTAGTTTTTCACTGTAGGGATGGCATTTTAATGTGTATTATTATTATTAATAAACCCTGGAAGTTCAAATGATATCAGGGCCACACTGAGAATGGCACTGTCCAAGCATGTAATAAGAGAGAGCCCCTGTCCTCACAGAGCTCACATTCTAAACAGACAAGACAGCAGAAGCATGGGAGGAGAAAGAGAAACCCAGAGAGATTAAGTGACTTGCCCAGGATCATACAGCAGATCAGTATCAGAGCAGAGGATAGAATTCAGGTTTCTTGATTTATAATCCAGATACCTAAATGCTAGTGCAGGCTGCCTCTTGTAGCACATGTTGAAAGGGACTGTATATTGCAGAGATCGCAAAGGGGATTATAGGATCTTTTACCTCCAATGTTAGAGGTTGAATTTGGCCCAGATTGGTACTCTTGCTGTTAGTGGCTAATCACTAATCTCTGCTAGATTAGTTTGGGGGCATTTTTGCAGTTGATAATATGTATCCATGTTATACAAGGCTTCCTTGCCCCCACGTACCTTCCCCAGAGGCAGTTTCAGCAGGGATGTTAAGGAGAGAAAGGAGTGTGGAGGATCACCCTGACTTGCATACAGATGAACTTCCTTTGGGGCACTTGTGAGGTGGTAAACACCTGCTGTTCTGCTTCCTGCACTGTGCCTATACAGTGGATAACCAGAGGCCTGCTCATTCCATGCTGTGTCTGTGGCCTCTTTCATCTGCATTACATTCACTTTAATTAAAAACAACATAAGTTGAGCTTCTGATCTGCTTAGAGCACAACAGCAGATAATAGTGACCACAAACAGGGCCAGCCAAGTTACCTCTCATCCCTGCCAGAAGCAGCATGGCATGTTTTATGATTACATATATAGGCTTTTTGCTAGAGTGTTTTATTGGAGATCTGTTCACTGTCGCGGCTCAAGACAAACAGTCATGACCAGCAAAGCATCCTGGTCTTACTCTAGACTTGAACTAGACTTGAACACACATGACAATCTCCATGGTCTACTCATTACAAAGAATGGAAATAAACCAAGAGTGGCTGAGTTGCTTTGCAGCTGGATCAGATTAGAAAGCAACCAAGCATAGAGTTCCCTGTTTGTGAAGTGTGTCTGTTTGCATGAAAAACTCCTTCATCCTGAATCTGTGGGGACCGTGATATAATTGCAAAACAAAAGAAAACAAAACAAAAACTCAGAACTGTCATCCTAAAGGCATCACATTTAAAACTATATTATTTCTTGAAAGGAGAGCGAGCAAGCAATCCAATTAAGTCAAGTGTACCAGGGTTGAGTTAATATGACTCTCACCTGCAGGTGTCAGGCGTGCTTTGATAAATGTTGTGATATTTAGACCTTTCCCACATTAAGAGACTAACATAGAAATGTGATGAACTGCAAGATAAGACAAGCAGCTTTAATTCAGAGTCTTTCAGCTGCATCAAAAAGAATAGCGGAGTTTTTTCCTAAGTAGTTGAGTCAGCCCTAGTACAATTTTTGCTCATCCAAGATTGAATTATTTCAGGGCAGATTAATTTGGATACATGCTATTAAACTTCACAAGGACTGGGAACAATACTGATCATGACAGCCCTAAACATCACGCATAGGGCAGTTATCACATACACACATAGCTCGATCTGTATTCTCTCTAATAGAAAGCAGGCAGTCTGATCCAATGGATAGAGCATTGGCTGGGGACTAAGGAGACCTAGGTTTTATTCATAGCCCTCCCACTGATCTGCTGTGTGACCCTGGTCAAGCTGCTTCTTGTTCCAGTTTCCCTTCTGTCACCTTTGTTGTCTCTTAGATTGTAAGATTTGTGGGGGAGGGGCTGCCTAGCTGGGGTATGTGGACAGTGTTTGGTGCAACAGAACCATGATCACGCTAAGGGTCTCTAGGTCTATGTCTACACTGCAGAGTCC